CTGTCATACATCCAAGAGGTGAAGTCCAGTAAGCAGTTAGATGAGTGTCTACCGATGTCTACAGCTGGAGATGTAGATTTCAGTGGCATTGGTAAGCAAACAGCGTTAACACCTTTGGGAGCAGAGATCTCTCCTGGCAAAGGGTCAGGAGAGGTCCCTGAGATGTTCTATCAGAGGGACAGGTGGAGCCTGCTAAGGACACTCCGAGGGCCTGGCAAAGACACAAGAGGAACAGGGTGGGAGTGCCCAATGCCAAGCCTTAAGAACATCCTTCTAACTCTGTGGGGCCTCTGACTGTCCCCCCACTTTCCTTACACAGTCAAGATTGCTCCAGCTAGGTATTTCCAGGGAATATTGATGAATTCAGTAAATCTAGTTTTTAACATCTATGCCTAGAAACAGTGGCTTCCCCGATGGCTCAGTGGGTAAAGAATCCTCCCGGCAAAACAGGAGACACAGGAGACATGGATTCGATCCCCAGGTCGGGAAGATCCCCTAGAGGAGGAAATGGCAACCCACTCCAGTATTCTTGCCTGGAGAATCCCATGGACGGAGGAGCCTGGAGGGCTGCAATCAAAGGGCTGCAAAGAGTCCAACATGACTGTGCGTGAGTGTGAGCTTGACTCCTCTTAGATCATTGGCTCTTAAGGAAGTGGAAAATTAGGGACCACGTGATTTATTTATTTGTTGAGTTCCTGTTTATGAGGAGATGTTGCTGAGTAGTACTTGAGGCCAGTTCTCAAAAAAAAAAAAGCGTTAAGTCATAGTGGCCACGCTCTTTTAATGGTGGTAAAATCATCCTGTTGGTCTAGCCCATTGAACAGATCCATAAGAAATAACTCCTTGTAACATAATCAATTGTCATATAATTGGTAGATAATCATCCTTCACCTTTTCTACAGCATCTTACAATTTACAGAATGTTTTCATGAGCAACATCAGACAATACCTATCTTCACAGGAGTCACAGATTATGGAAATAATCTGTGAAATTATTATCACCGTTTTATAGATGAGAAAATCAAGGCTTAAAGAAATTAGTTAACTTGTCAAATGTTGTACAAGCTAAGTGAAGGATCGAGACTGATAGCTACCAAGAGAGTGGTGAACGTAGTGGGTAGGGGGCAGGTGGCAGTCAGAGCTGTCCCTCCTGGAAGCAGGCACTAAAAGGACTGCCCTGTCTGCAGAGGATTTAGAAGATAATAAAACCAACTAAAGGCGTCTGCTTTTGTTATCACCCTGTACCACTAATTTCAAATACTGTCAGTAATAAAACATTCCTCCCTGCTGGGCACTGAGAGTGAAGCTAGCTTTTCTATCCTCTGATAGAAACGTTAACAGGGCAAATGAACCTCATTTCCAGTCACAGAGAGAGGTTTTTCTCAGTACTTTGCAAAGCGTTTCATACTCCAAATCCCTGTCCATGTTAAAACAGACACATTTTCTTTGAGCGTGTTCAGAGTCTTGCAGAATTGTGCTTCCTCAAGACAAAGAGCAACCACCACATGACCAAACGTCTAGGAAGAAGTGTCTCAACCTATTTTACAGAACTTCTCGAGAATCTTCTAAAAGAGCAGTACCCATTTGCTCTCTCAGGGAAACACACTGAGCAGCTCCTCTGAGAGTGGTGCAAGGCAGGAGCTGTGGGTGTGGGTGGGTTCACCCGCCAGGCCAGCGGGCTGTGGACAGCTTGCTTTGCAGATGAGCTGGAGGGATTTGTCTCAGTGCCCACGCCCTGGGCCTCCTTGGAGTGTGCATCTCACTTGCCTTCTGGGCTTAGCTGTAACAGTCCAGGATTCTCCCAACCTATCTGAGAAGTGCAGCTGCTTGCTTATCATATGTGAAACAGATCACCAGCCCAGGTTTGATGCATGAGACAGGGTGCTCGGGCCTGGTGCACTGGGATGACCCTGAGGGATGGGATGGGGAGGGAGGTGGGAGGGGGTTTCAGGATGGGGGACACATGTACACCCATGGCTGATTCATGTCAATGTATGGCAAAAACCACTACAATATTGTAAAGTAATTAGCCTCCAATTAAAATAAATAAATTTAAAAAATAAAATAAAATCACAAAGGCTAATTCAGCAGCAGAGAGTTCTACCTGCTAGCAGGCCAGACCTGAGGGGTTCCCCAAACTCTCTGATGCTAAAATTCAAAGCTCTCAGTGCTAAAACTGAAGAAGTCCAAGGCAAATCAAGATGGTTGCTCAGTCATCCTTCTAGTTGCTGAGACTTTTAAATCATTTTGGTGGGGGGGGGGGGGCTTGTTTTAATTTTTTGAAATCACCATGGGCCCCAAGCTTGGAACATGGAGAGGCTGGTCATCATCTTCATCTTAGCTATGTATTGGAACCACACAACAGGTTCCAGAAAAACCTAGAGCAGGATTTCTCAACAGCAGCGTGACTGACATTTTAGGCAGGAAAATTCTGTTTTGTAGGGGGCTTCCCAGTGCATTTTAACAACATCCCTAGCCTCTACCCATATATGCCAGTAGCACACACACACACACACACACACACACACACACACCACTCCTCTGTGACAATAGAAAATGTCTCCAGATATTTTCAGATGTCTGGAAGGGGGAGCAAAATTGTTCCAGCAGAGAGCTACTGCTCAGAGAGATGTCTCTGGCTGCCTCACTAAAAATGGGGGCATGAGTGCTCAGTCACTTCAGTCGTGTCCAACTCTTTGTGACCCCATGGACTGCAGTTCCCCAGGCTCCTCAGCCCATGAGCTTCTCCAGGCAAGAATACTGGAGTGGGCTGCCATACCCTTCTCCAGGGGATCTTCCCTACGCAGGGATCGAACCTGTGTCTCTTATGTCTCCTGCATTGGCAGGCAGGTTCTTTACCACTAGCACCACCTGGGAAGCCAAAAATGGGGGCTGTTGGGTACAAATCAAGGCTGGAAAGGGGGAGTCTCCTGGCTTCACAGCCATCCCATTGGCCACATAAAAGACTAATAATGACCACTGTTCACTCCTCTTGGGTAGAATCAGAAGCAGAGTTAGGCTGAGATCCCCCTTTTGAGGCAGGAGGTAGAAGCCCCCCTCCCCCAGGGTAAAGCAATTGGAGATTCATCCCCTGCAAACTGAAACTCTAAAATATCAATAGCAGGGCAATTGAAAGAGGAAGCTGGACCCTGCCCAGATAGAAGATAAGAGACCGTGTATTTTTCATTCTTGAAGTCAGGACACCTCCACGACGACACTTGCGCAGAAAGGCTCCTTGGAGGTCAAAAGGAGAGTGATGCTAAGTGATGCTCCGCCCATAGGCTCTTGGATGGAATCCCTCCTGGTTAAGAGGGACATGTGCACACATGGAGGACACTGAGATATACAAACACAGGCTCTGAACCAGGCACGTCAGAATGGCCGGCCAGAGGAAACCCAGAAGAAATGTCCCATGCAAATGATTTAAACCACCAGGACAGTGTGACCCTCTCTTAGCCCTTTCGTGTGTCTGTCCATAAGTACTGTACTTTTTCTTCCTAATAAATACTTTGTAACCTTACTTTCCATCTTTGTGGGAATTCTTCTGCCTCAAAGCTGAAGGGTCAAGGCCTTGTCACTGACCACTGGTCTAGCGGCCGGAATTCGGTGCTCTCACTGCCGTGACCTGACCCCAATCTCTGGCCAGGAATAGAGGCTTCACTTCAAGCTGTTCCAGGCCCACACCACCCGAGATTACTGTGATAGTGTGACCTGGGCAGGTGTCCCCTTAAAGAAGCCCTTCCCACAGGATGTTACAAGGATTACTTCCTGTCCTATGGGATGCTCCCTAGGAAAACAAAAGAGGGCTTTATTCATGAAGGACTTTATTCATGAAGTACATTACATATTGAAGGCTCTGAGAAATCTCTCCATAAAGGAAGCTATTTAGATTTTACAACCTAGATTCATGCTGAGGTCAAACTACCCATTAAATGCCATTGTCAACCTCCCAACCGTAGGTTCTTCGGGAACTCTGGTGCCCTCCCTGAGATTTCTGAGAATTTTCAGTTTGCGTCCTTGTGCTCGCTTCCGGCTCTGAGCTCAGCCTCGCTCTGGATGGTCCACCTCATTCATATTGCTCCTCTTACCACTTCCCTTTATTTCTGCTCTTTGCTGACGGAGACGTGGACTTCGGTTCCCTTTCCGTGATGCCCCCTTCCCTTAAATACCCGCACCAGGAATTGGTGTGTTCAGGGGGCTTTACTGAGGTTTATGGTGGTGGAAATCTTTTATGTGAGTTTAGCTCCCTTTGGCCTCAAGACTGCCCTCATCACCTCCCCAAGGCACTATTTGTGCAGTCTCCTCCACTCCCACCCCGATTCCATTCTCACTTTATTGTATAAAACAACTTTGCCTTCCCTTCCTTATTGGTCTTGGACTTGCTTTTACACTTTCAAAATCTTGTGAACAGGTGACCACCTAATCTATCATCCAAACTATGACACCTTTGAGAATGAAAGGGGACCTAATAATAATTTTGCTGGGACCACAGTTGTACACCAGGAAAGTCCCCAACAAACCAGGGTATGTGGTCATCATACATCTGTGCTAAAGACAAAGGGTTGTCTGCTCTTGAACTTTCCCATTATCAATAGAAAAGAAGGCAGAGGCTTGGAAATCTTTGTGTTTCCTTCCTAATTTCTTCTCCCCTCTCCAGTCCCTATAGGTGGAATGGAGCTATAGAATAGGCGTTTTCCTAATGATGTGAACCATGCCATCCTCAAAGATGAAAGTGGCTTCCATAAACTTTGTTTTTAAATGAAATTTTCTTTTTTCCATTGCGTTTGCATGCTAAATTGCTTCAGTCATGTCCAACTCTTTGAGATCCCATGGACTGTAGCCCACCAGGCTCCTCTGTCCATGGGATTTCCCAGGCAAGATTACTGGAGTGGGTTGCCATTTCCTCCTCCAGGGGATCATCCTGACCCAGGGATCAAACCCACATCTCTTATGTCTCCTGCACTGACAGGCAGGTTCTTTACCACTAATGGATTTTTAACTTATTCATCAGTCCCCAAATTTATTTGGTCATAGAGCTTATTTATTCTCTTCATCTCAACACCCTTTAAAACCTCCCATAAATGAAAGAACGCACTTTGGGAAACTGTCAACTCAGAGTAGTATGGACCATCCACACTGCCACCAAAATAACCTTGGGGGGTGACAGGATTAGGGTGGAGTAGAGACCAGGAGTACTCTGTGAATGAGGGGAATATCTGGAGATTAACAAATGTGAGCAACAGAAGTGTAGAGAGTGGTATAGCTGGAGGCAAGCTCGCCAAAAGACCATTGTCTCTATACTCACATTGCATGGAGCATGCTATGGGAAACACTGCCTTGGAACACTGATTCCCAAACTCAGGTGCTGATTCGTTGCACAGGCCTCAGGCCCCCAAACTGCCCCTTCCTCACTCCAGACACATTAACATCCTTGATACTCTTGGACCATGTAAAGTATGCTTCCACCTCAGGGCCTTTGCATTTGCTATTCCTTCTCCCTAACATGCTTTCCCCATTTATCTTCAGGTCTCACTTTCTCACTTCCTTCAGGTCAAATGTCAGCAAGGCTGCACCTGACCACGTAATACAAAATAGCCACCCACTCCCACCTGGGGTTCCCTACCTTCCAAGACTTGCTTTATTTTGATCCACAGCACATGCTACCATGTGACAGTCTGTATACTTGCTTGTTTATCTGTTCATTGCCTTTCCCACCTCTTAGAAGGTAAGTGCCCTGAGAATAAGGTTTTGTCTGTTGTATTGTTGAATACCGCTGTATTCCCAGGGATCAGGATATGGTGATGTTTAATGCACGTTTTTCAATGGAGGAAAGAAGGAGGGAATCGGCTGTAAAGTTTCAGACATCTTCCAAAGCCTCAGGAGCAGAGCCTGGTCAGCAGTAACATGTATGCACTTCCACTGGCTGCTGCTTCCCCAGCTCCTGTCCCGAGTCGCACTGCATCCTCTGTGGAAGCTGGCAAGTCTCACTCCTCTAGGAAGAAGCACTTCCCACGGACCTGCAGCCCCCCATGCCTCCTCCCTCCACACTTGCTGCATGGTCCAGCAAAGCTGCTATGAAGACATGAATGGCAATCAGCCATAGACCTGAGTGTGACGCATGCATTAACCTCTACAGGCTGTCAGCTCCTTACAGGGCAGAACAGCAGAGACAAAATCCAGGAGCTGGTCCCTGAGTGGAGTCAGCCCTGCTTCTCAGCCCTTGCCTTATGAGGGGCAGGAGAGAGAAAGGACTCCTCTCTCGGCCAGTCTCTCTCAGGAACTTGCTTCTGACTCAGAGTGGCTGAAACAACTGTGTCCCTTGTCACTCAGATGTCACCCCTTTCCATTAGAACTGCACCTTGCTTACAATAAATTAGAAGAAATACCCAGTCATTTACCTCCATCAGAATACATATTATGCATTTTAAGCATGGGAATGCATGCACACACACACACATGTGTGTGCAAAGATACACACACATGCACGCATGCACACACATACACACATATCCAGAGCAAAAGCCGCATCAGGATACAGACAGGCACAGGTCTGACTCTCCACTCTGAAGCATCTCACTAGCTTCTCATCAGTGAAATACAATGGAGGCGTATTCCACGTGGTCTGGTGATGTCCTCCTGGGGCGGTTGAAAGGCGGCACGTTGGCATAGACAGCGAAGTCGTCCTCTTTCCTGGGGGCCAGGTTGATCACGTTGGAATATATGGCATCAGCATGGCAGGAAAGCTCCTTTAGAGACAGGATGCAGGTTAGAGACACCAGCGATTCCAAAGACAAAACCGGCTATGCCGGGGTCCCTATAGGACAGCAAGTGAAACCTTGGGTTCTTGCTGAGCAAGCTTTGATTTTCAAAAACATTTCTTTTAGGGCTGTTCTCCGCCTCATCACCACTGTGCCTGTGTGGCACCTGCCTAGGAAGAGCGTGAGATCCCGGCAGAGATAACGGGGAGCCCCTCTAGGTATGACTCAGCCATTTCCTTACCAAAGGTTTGTGGAGAAAGTTGGTCTGATGCTTCAGTTGTTTCTTAAATAGCCCTAGAAGAGTTAATAAATTCAGAGTCAGTCTGAGTTGGGGTAGTAGCCATCCTTCTTTGATTGCTGGACTTAGGGTTGAACTTCAGAATGCAAAGCCACCACGTTCAACCCACTGGGCCTCTGAGACTGGGCTAAGTGCCCAGGAAGAGACAGGGAGAGTGAGCACTGTTTTGTACTTTATAATTTTGGTTATTATTTAGATATTACTTGGCATCAAAGTTTCTTTTAATTGATGCATTTGAACCATGTCTGTGCAGATTGCTCATGTGTGACTTTTAGCATAAAGAATTTGTACCACAAACAAATCTTGTTGCTCTGTGCTGAGTCCCTGGCAACTGCAGAGAATAGACCTACAGCCTCCCTCTTCTCCCCTCCCCCAAGGCTGCCCCAGAGGAAAGATGCCCCATTCCTGCCCTCAGTTTCCCCCCTTTCCTCCCACTAAGCTCCAGGCAGCTGGTCAACTCACTCTCATGCCTCCATTTTTTCAGAGTCACGGATAAGAGTCCCACCAGGAGCAAGATGAGGGCCACGACACCGATGGAGCCAGAAACAGCTGTGGCTGCTGTGTGTAGGCTGAGGGAAGTGAACGAGAGAACGAGGACACTTCACAGCCCCGGCCGCTGTGGGGACCGTCCACAAGATGGCCCTGGGGCCTCCCCACTGCTGTGCTTCCACCTCCCCAGCAGCCAACCATCTCCTGCCTCCAGGTCGACCCCCTTCCCTCTGCCCCGATCTCCACACCATGGTCCCTCCCACACCAATTCCCACACGGGGCCAAGCAGACCCCTTTCCAAGATCCCCGATACTCCTCCAGGGCCAACCCTTCTTTCACCCACCTGCTGGATAGTGCGGGGCCTGAGGTTGAGGCGGTGATATTCTCTGCAGAAAGGGAAAGGACATTCAAGAGTAATTCTCTAACGCATGCTATAGACTGAGTGCTTGTATGCCGCCACGACTCATGTGTTAAAGTCCTAACCCCCAAGGTGATGGTATTTGGAGGCAGGGTCTTCGGGAGATGACTAGGTCAAGAGGGAGGAGCCCTCATGAATGGGATTTGTTCTTTTATAAAAGAGACTCCAGAGGGTCTCCTTGCTTCCTTCCAACCTGTGAGGACACAGCAGAAGACAACCATCTGAGAGCCAGAAGCGGGCTCTCACTGGGTGTGCTGGTGCCTTGCCTTAGACCTCCTGGCCCCCAGAACTATGAGAAATGTCTGTTGTTTATAACACACCCAAGCAGTAATTTGTCATAGCAGCTGGAACTGACCAAGACAACACACACACAGATGAACTCTATGGGAGCCTAAACAGTAATATCAGTTACCTTACACTGGGGACTTGGTATGTGCCCGGCACATTCATTGTCTTATTCATTTTTCATAGACAGACAATAAGCTGGAAACAATCAGTATACCCTTCTTACAGTAGGGAAACCGGCCCACAGAGACCAGGCTTGCTCAAGATCATAGAGCTAGACAGTGGCAGAGATCAGACTTGAACCCGTGTCTCTCTGACATGTGTTATACTGCAGCTCGCTATCAGGCGATCATTGTACTCTTGAGTTCTGCCATTCTTACAAGGGGTTAAAGGTTACCAGCTATGGCAGCATGTCGGAGGATGCTGGTGACCATCCCCAGGGAGGGGCATGTGAGGGATGGGGAGTGGTCAGGACACCGGGCAGTTGGAATGGAACCAGGCGGAGGTGACAGCTGTTACAGCCTGCCCATGTTTGGTGAGGAGGTGAAGGTGTTATCATCCACACTTCAAAAACTTCTCCCGCATCAAGGGATGGAGGTACTAAACTTATCCCCTCTCCAGCCAGTCTGACCCTGGATTCTCAGAGTTAGAGGGAATCTTAAAACATATGTAACCCAACCCTCCTACTGTACAGATCTTCAGGGTCAGTTACTTGCTGCTACTAAGTGCTGGAGTCAGGACTGGAGTCCATGTTTTCAACTCTAAACTCAAAGCTTTCTTGCCTATACTTGGGCCTCTTCCTATTCCTTCCCCCTTAAAGTGGAGCTGCGTGGTTCAGCCCCTCTGGCAGGCGACACCTCTCCAGACACATCTTGGGAGCTGGCTCCTTTGATGCCCAAATGCAGAGACTGCTGCTGGAGTGGGGAAGAGGGAACCTACTGGATCACTAGGGCAAGCTAATACCCACTGACAATACATAATATCAGAAGGTGGAAGTACTGCACCAAGAATTACAGCTCCTGGAGCACTAAGGCTGGGTGTATTTGGGTCAGGCACCTCCATGGTTCACTTCCTCTTGGCCTTCTTTCCTGTCCCCCTTCTATGTATGACCACTGACTCACCAAGTTTCTCTTTAACAGACCCTGCCCACTGTCTGGGCAAAGGGTAGGGAGGGGACTTGGAAACGAGATCTTTTAGTGCCCACAGCACCAGCAGGGAAGCACTCAAGAGAAGACACTGAGACTCAGGACTTGAGTGTGTAGGCAGTGGCGAAGGTCACACAAAGCCCTGAGTGATGAGACAGGAGCCTGGGGCACCAGCTGCAGGCTGCTGGCCAGGCAGGGCACACCTATTCTCAGCCAGGAAGAGAGAAAATGTGAGAGTGTCCATCTAGGGCCAGGAGAGGGCAAAGGCCTGTCCTGGGAAGGCCGAGGAAGGTCGGTGGGCATGAGAACAGCATGAAGGATGACATCACGAAAGAGTCTGAGCTTTAGGGTCCAGTGACCTGGTCTCACGTTTCTGACTGCATAATCTTAGGACAGTCATGTCACCTCTCTGGGTCTCATTTTCCTCATCTGTGAGATGGTCGTAGTGTTGTTCAAGAACTAAATGGTCAGACTAGTATTTAATAGTAATTAGTAGCTACTTGCCCAGGCCTGGCTTTCTGCTCATCTTACCCAAAGCAAGCAACTGAGTGGTGCTGTCTAGGACTTACCGCTGGAGTCCTGGAACGTATGGTTGGTCGAATTCATCTTGCCCAGGGGTCCACCCAGAGGTTTTTTGTTCCATGTACTGATGTTCCCAGAACAGAGGGTTCCTATTAGCTCAAAGTGGAGTTTCTCAGAGTACTTAGCAGCCGCTGGCAGACACAGGCCCCCAGGAACCAGCAATTCTCTTCTCCTCCCTATGTTTCATTCATCCACAGGAACCTGTCTGATGCAGAGAATGTTAGACTCTCACCTCTGGAAGGGAGGGCCTCAGGGCCCTGAGATAACTTCTCTGTCTTAAAGGGGTCATATTCAGACAGGCCTTCCCCAAGCACACAGTCCAAAGTCAACATCCCAGCCTCTCTGGCCCATCGCCCTCTGATCTCTTAACTAGAGTATGAATTTACCACAACCACTGATTCATTTGCTTGCTTACTGTCAGTCTCTTATCACAAGAACATAAGCTCCACAGGAACAGAAACCTTCCCTGTTGTGGTCATCACCATATCCCCGGGGCCTAGAACAGTGCCTCTCCAATTAATAGGTTCAACACACATTTGTTGAGTGAATGAATGAATAAATGCCCAAGATTCCTTCCGAGAACCCCAACCAGGGTCCCTTAGTCTCTATCAGAACCTTGGCAAGTCTCCACCACAGACTTTCAATCCCTTAATTAATGGTAAATTTTTATCCTTTGAAGGAGAAGTTGATTTAAGACAGCCCTAAGTCATCTGAACCAACCAAACTGGATGATAAAGTAGGGGATGACTGATCTGGGAAGTGCTGATTGTGGAAGTTGAGGCACTTTGTCTGCAGGACCGAGAGCAGTGTCCTGGCAGAGCCTGGAGGAGGTGGCCCCACCTGGGTGCGTGGAGAGCCGAAGGGGCCAGGGTACAGAGGATGCTGCCTGAGAGCTGCCATCACGGCCCCTGCTGTGGGTGGGAAGTGAGGAGAGACGGTGTTTAGCACTAAATGAAAGAGGATCTGTCCCCCTCCACCCCCCACCCACGGCCACACCCCACAGAGAGACCTGCAGGAGCCATCAGGAAATCCCCGAACAAGGCAAGATTCGGAGCCCAGAGCCCAAACGACGTAGATGAGTCACTAAGCCCGTCTGGACTCAGTTTCCCCCGTTGGGGAATGGGGCGAGGTGAAAAGAATAAGGTAGGACTACAAAATGCATCACTGACTCGATGGCCATGAGTTTGAGTAAACTCCGGGAGTTGGTGATGGACAGGGAGGCCTGGCGTGCTGCGGTCCATGGGGTCACAAAGAGTCAGACACGACTGAGCAACTAAACTGAGCTGAACAAAGTGACTATTTCCTCCCCTTCTAGTGTCTTCTTTGGATGTGCCCCCCCATACATTGTATTTTCTTCTAATAATCATCCTAATTGCTCAAGTAATATTAAGAACTCCTCTGTGGAGAAGAGCCTTTCTAACTGTTAAGAGTTGTTTTTATTTTTAATTTTGAAAGAAGGAGGGGACATCATAATTTTTTTAGTTTGGGGCTTCTGAAAGTTTTTATTTTATTAGGAACATTCATATGGCTATAAACTTAAAAGGTACAGAAAGATAGTCCTTGAAAAGATGCTTTTCTACTCTTCACCCCAAGCAGCTAGTTCCTCCCTCTGGAGGCAACCAGTGTACATAAAGTGTACATGTTTGCTCATGAACACCTTATGTATATATGAGCAAACACACACACATACACAGACATATAGACGCACACATGCAATACAGTTTTCTTCCTGTGGATGACAACATACTATATATATTAATCAGCCTCTTGCCTTTTCATGTGATACACTTTGGAATTAATTTGTTGTCAACATGTAAGGCTCTTTCTCATTCTTTTTTTCATTTGCCAGCTGTTGTACTCTGTGGACGTCCATGGTTTATTTAACTGGTCTCCTTGTGGACATTAAGGTTTTGTTTCCAATATTTACTCTTCAGAGGATGGTGCAATTATTAAACATATTCAAACATCATCTGCACATGTGTGAATATACATGTAGCATTAGGGAAATGCTTGTTAAGGCAGCTTTGGAAATCCAAATATTAAAAAGTCAGTGTTACTTTTTAAAAATCCAAAAATGTAGTGTTATCCAATTGACTACCCAAGTAATTCACCAGATTTCACTTTATGTTGCCTTTGGCTATTTCCTCAAATCAAAATGCTCCTCAAAGAACAAAGATCTGAAAGCACTAAGGGTATTCATCAGAACTGCCTCACCTCTGGAGGCATCTCTATAAGAACCCAAATGCCACCATCAGAATAAGTGGAGTGTTTCCCAGGGGGACTATGAGGGTGGAATAACTCTCAATGACACAGATACTTCCAAGTACTTCAAACAAGACTTACTGAGACCCAATCCATACTCTGGAGTGCTGCACGGGGTCCCAAAGGGGTCCCAAAGAGGCGGACCTGACTCAGCGACTGAACAACAACCCATAGTCTGCTTAACACAAGGAAACCAGTGGTCCAACGCAGCAGCCAGTTCTCAAAGTGTGGTCTGCAAATATCCTGGGGGCTATCCTGGGGGTTCCAGAAATCCTTGCAGAGGTTTGGGGGCATAAAAACTCTGTCATCATAGTGCTAAAGAGCTGGGTGCTATTTTCACTCTCTGTGTTTCTCAGGGTCCAGTGGAGTTTTCCAAAGGCTACGTGACATGTGATATGGCAATAGACTCATTGCGGAAGCAGATCTGATGATCTAGCTCTCTTTTACCAGGCTAGATATTAACCATGAGATTGACAAAAACATCAAGCAACACCTTTCTTCTCATTAAATTTTTCATCATTTGGAAAATATGGTTAATTTTTCACAGAAGTGTGATAATTGTATTAATATGTAATGATTATAGTACTTCTTTAAAAATTAGTTAAAAGCTTATTTTTAAATTGTCAGTTTTAATTCCTAATGTGGTAAATGCAGATAGATACAGCCTGCATAAATTCCTTGGGTTCCTTAATAATTTTTAAGCGTATAAAGGGGCACTGAGACCAAAACATCTGAGAACAGCTGTTCTGAGTTTCTTCACCAGAGGGTGGGTGAGGGCACTTCACCAAGGGTGTGATCAAGGTGCAGGAGAGACAGAAATGGGCTTCTTCAGAGAGCAGCATGTGTCAAGGAGAACAGATAATCTCTTGGAAAAGAGAACTCTCTGGGGCCTTCTGGCTGGCACCATGGCAGCTGTGTAGACAGGCTCTGCCAGAGAGGATGGAGCCCTGTGTGGGGGACAGGCTCCGAGGCGGGGGGACCGGGGAGAGGAAGCAGAGCTCTTGTGCCAGACTAAGCTGCCGACTGCGTCCCCCTTGGATTCCCGGGGTCACCTGTCCTGCCCCAAACAAATCCACATTGGGGCCTGAAATTCCAACGAAGTGTTTCATTCTCTTGGCCAAAAGGCAAATTCAATCCCAAACAACGTCAAGTGTTCAAGCTTACCCAAATATGGTTATTTAGGTGGATTAGAAGGTTGCATTTTATTAAAACAAAAATGTGTATCCATGCCTGGGTTAGGGTACTTGCCTAACCCATGCCTGCGATGTGGGGGAGAGGGAGCGCAGGGCGGAGGGTAGGGAATACATCTGGAGGCCAAAAGTTATTAAATAAATGGACCATAAGAGCTATGCCTGGACCCATGCTGGCAGAGCGCCACTAACAGAAGAGTTTGATCAAGCTAATTCTGGGAAACTAAAATCAAAGAAAAGAGTCCAATCTAGCCAAAATTTTTTAAAATTTTATGGTGTGTAACCCAGCAGAACAAAGCAGGCTACAGGGGTAGAGAGGAATTAGACATGGACCCTGGGCTCAGAGTGGTATCCCCTGTCCTCCCAGCCCAATCTGGCAGGAAAGGTCTCCACTGACCCCCCAACAGCTGTAAGAAGAGGCAGGTGTGTGGTCAGTGCTCAAGTGATGTACAAACAAAGGGCTATTGGATCAGAGAGGAAGGACAAAACATTCCTAACTTGGGCAATGAGGGAAGGCTGCATGGAGGAGGTGCCGTTTGTGCTGATTCTGAACAACAGGAAGGGTTTCTACAGGCAGTGCTGAGACTCTGGATGTACCACGGTGCCAGGAGCAGCCGTTGGAATATGAAGTCATTTCTCCCTTGGTGAACATCTGAAGTTATTGATAAGAGGAGGAACCTTGGACACTTGAGGCTGAAGGGAAGCTATCACCTAGGATGGTGGAAAGAGGGACCGAATCTGGGGAAACACGGTATGGGAAAGACAGTTCACAGACGAGAACTCAAGAGCCCTGTGTGGACCAAGATCAGGTCTGATCTGACTCAACCAGCCCGTGGCCAGTGCCTGGAACGTAGCAGGCCCACAGTAAGTGCTTACTGAGTGAGGGAAAGATGGGACACACTCCTTTTCTCCAGGCTGGCCAGACATACTGCTATAATCAAGTGGGGTCATCAGGAAAAGAGAGGGGAGGATGTTCAACCAAACCTCCTCCTGGCTTCCTCTGATGTCACTATTCTCACCATTTCTGGGACTTTAACCGCTTTTCTGGTTGTTTTTGCAAATTTTCATTTCTCAAAATAGAAACCCTGTGTCCTCTTGAGGTTTATTACAGAGCCATTTATTGGATGGGGTTGCTGTAAAGATCATCGTTAGGTTTTCAGTTTGCACCGTGGCTTATTTGCAAGCTTCAAACAGTTAGCTTAACGTTTGGCTTCCTAAGAAAATAAAAATGTTAACCCCTTAGGCTCCTACAGAAGTTTACCACTGGACATGTAAAAGCAGCAACTGTCCACAGGTGACTTAACAGGATATGATTTCAAATTCATTGGAATTACTGGCTTTTACTGGCTCTGCACATGTACTTCATTCGATTTAAAAATAACACAATTTTTAAGGAAAGCATATTTTATCAAGTACAAAATGGAAACACATCTCTCATACACATCTCATGATTTCATTTACTATTCAGAACTGGGACCATCTCCCTGGCCTCCATGTAGCTGTTTGAAGGATTAGGCATACCACTTATCCCCATTTGTAGATGAATTGACGAGGATTCCCAGGGAGTGAGGA